AGGTACACTCACGCATTCTCCCAGAATCCAGTGAGTCAGGTGACATTGTGGGGCCAATCCAGTATCATCACTTGACAGAAAACTCTGCTACTTTCTTCCCACCTGGGAAAACTGTGGTTGAGGGAAGCTACCAGGTTTGCCTCATAACTCACTTCTGTAACTCTGTCTCTTAGCCTGACTGTCTATGCGCATTTAAAGTCTCTGAACTTTTAATACAATTTCAGAAACATGTAAATTAGATAAAATGTTATTTTTAACTTCAGGTGGTTTACCTACTTATAACAAAAACTTTAAGTTAACAATAACTTATCTGAAGAAGTGGGCGTGCACACAAAAGCTTATACCGAGAATAAAACTTTGCAGGTCATAAAGGTACCACTGGACTCAAGCTTTGTTCAATAACTTCCTATAGTTACTTTTACTTCAGCCCACAGTGGCAGGGCCATTCCTGAAAGGTGGGCTCCCTAAAGAGCTGCTGTGTTTTTCTGCCTTTTGGAAGGATCAGCCGTACGGAGCACACAAATGCCATGCTTCCTGCCACTCTTTGCAGGCGTGCATGCTGAGACATAAACTGCTTTGAAACTTTTAACAGTCATGGCTTCTTCCAAATAATCCTGGGAACTGTAGGCGTTTACCACACAGGGATGGGATTCTTTGGTTTCCTTCTTGCCGCTATGGGGAGGGGCGGGGTATAAATCAGACAGTAAACAAATAAATAAATACAGCACAGATGCAACAGGGTTTCAACATGGCAGTTCTCCCAGTATTTTCCCTGCAGCCATCCCTCTCCCTCCTTGCAGCACTGAGGGGCTTTTAAAAAAAGATTGGCATATTATAACATTGACATGTTATTATAAAATTATAACAATTTGCCTGTCAGGCTCTGTAAAGTGCCATTTTTATTTTCTTTCTTTTTTTTAAAAAAAGTAAGTCTCTAGAGTCTTTTGTTGTGGAGATAAAAGGGCAAAGGCATATTTTTCTTTGAAATGGGTTAGAGCAGGGGTGTCAAACTCATTTGTTATGAGGGCCGGAACTGGCATCAGTGGGACATTGTCGGGCCAGGCCATGTGAGTCTTAAAATGTAATGCCAGGTAGCAGTGATATATAAACTATAAGGGACACAGACCAACACAATTAAAGATATCTTACCAGTTTCTGGGTAAGCATCAAGTTGCGTGTGCCGTCACCGCAAGGCCCCAGCTGCACAGGAAAACCCACACAGGCAGACTGGAGAGCCAGCAGTGCAGCACTGGGCTGATGCCCCCATGCTGCCTGGAGTGGGGAGCAAACCCTTTCCCCGGCATGCTCTCATGGGTCAATACTCTGAGCCTAGAGCCCAGAAGAAAACATGAAATGGCTGGGCATTGCAAGCTTCTTCCCCCCCTTCTCCCCCCCCCCCCCCCCCAGGTCTACTTAGAATGGCAGTGGCTCTCTCAAGTTGAAGGCTGGATTAAAAACTGGGTGGGCCAGTTCCAGCCCACGGGCCATACGTTTGACACCCCTGGGTTTAGAGACTTACTAAAATGAAAGTGAAACTTCATCACTAAGTTCAGTTGGGATGGTTCACGGCTTTGTGAGGCTTGGCGAGTTAGTTGGTGAGAGACCTCACAGGCTACAGTGGGCTTTTGGGATGGAGTGGGGTGGGGGTCAGGGTCCAAGTCTGAGTTAGATTCCTTGTGTTCCTCCTGAACATCAAAGGGGCTTCCTGGAGGTATCTCAACTGCCTCCTTTTGTGGTGGTAGCAGGGCTTCATCACCTTCCATGTCTGAGTCTCCTCTCTCTCTGTCTGATGATGAGGAGAGTCCATACTCTGGCCTATAACATTTGATAGTGGAATGAGCAATTGACTGTGGGCTCATGATAAACCACTCTACCACTCCTTTTGCTCCTGTTTAGTGCCATCTTGGTTCAGCCTCACTACAAAGCAGTGACCACTCCAAATAAGATAACATGTGCAAACAACCAATAGCGAGCATTGTTCTAGGGTTTTTGTTGCAGAATTTGGGGTAACATGAACCTGGGCCTTTCTGTTCCTCTATGCTATGTAGGTTTTGCTATAACTGACTTTGGTTTCTTGGTTCTGAAGTCCCATAAGCCTTTGCTCTTTTGCTGGCAGCCTAGACATAAAAACTAAAGCCTTGCCCTGTAGATGTACCTTTGCCTGAATTCACATTTCATGGCCTTCAAAACGTTAACATATCTGTCTAGGTCTTTTTGACATTGCAGCTAATAAAATATATCTAAGCGAAAGTTCAAACTAGCAAAAGTTAATCTTATCAGTTTAGCATGGGCTGGTATTTGACAAGTTTGGTACATTTTAATTAACTCCTCCCTTGATTCCTATTGGCTGAAAGAAGTTTAAAAGGGAGTCTTTGGGCTTTGTTTGGGGCTGTTTGGCCAACACCCCATCTAGGTTTGAGTGAGGTCTTGGACCACAGTCCAGGAATTCCTTGTTCTCTCTGAAGTGTACATTATATCAGGTATTGGGGGGTTTTCTATATACTATTGGGTATTGATATTGAATATATGCTATCGAGTTTTACTTGTATATGCTTTTAGAGTTAATACATTCTTTTAGTTTACGGCAACTGTTCTCTCTGTGTTCTCTCTCCCTCTGGAGGCCTGAGTTCCCTAGTCAGACTCCGCCCACCCACAGAAAAGAACCCTAATGGGGCCGGGGATCCCTGGAAGAGGCCCCTGGACCCCTAATATTCCCCTACAGTTTTCGAAGGTGGCAGACTGATTATGTTCACCATTCACTAGATTTTCTATCCCCCTCCAAAATAGTACAGAAGGCCGATGCTTGTCATCAAGATCATGATTCGGAAGTCACATCACTTTCCTTTTACGTTTCGAAAAGAACAAGTTATATATCTCTTGTGTACCGTCTCTGGCTTCTAATCCCACCCCCTCGAGGAATGAGCTAGTAAGCTTGTATTAGCATTACTAATCTGCGTGGTACGTCAAAGGAAATCTCAGTGGAAAGGAGAATTCGTAATCTGAAAAGCTCCTCTTACTCTTTGGCTTTATGCTGCAGGGTGCTGCTGACCTCCTTGCTGCTGCTTCTGACATAAAGAAGCTCTCTCTCACTTTCCTATGTCAAAGCTTTGAGTTAAAATATCAATAGCTCCCCCCCCAAAACAATGTGATCCCTGCATCTAGCTGAACGCCCTTGTCTAGTTTATTTATTTATTTATTTTATCTTTCAACTTACTACCCCGCTCGAACCCCCCAAGGGGTCTCTGAGTGGCTTACAGTTAATCAGTTATCCCTACCTATGGCCACACAGATACTGGGGGTGGGGACAACCCTACTGGCACCCAGTGGAGGGACTGGTAGATCTTTTCTTCCCGGGTCGGCTTGTCGGTTCGGCGTCTTGGCTTCCGGTTCCTCCCCTTCCAGTGGACTTTCGGTGGCGGATCAGCAGGGCCCTTCCGTTGCACAGCACGCTCCAGCGCGGCTTCGGCTCAGTCCTCCAGGCTCCGCCGCGCCTGCGCCTTCCACGCTCCCCACGTCTTCCTGGCTCCGCCTTCTGGCAATGTCTGTTCCACCGTAGATGTTGTGCCTGGTTGCCATCTTTTGCCGCTTGCCGTTCACCGTTCACTGCTCTCCGATGCTCCAACAACCCCCTCAATGGGGGAGGGTGCCCCCTACCATCTAAGGTAGGTACCCATTTATCTACTCGCGCATTGATGTTAATTGTCGCTTTCGAACCGCTGGGTTAGCAGGAGCTGGGACTAGGGCCAGGTGCTCACTCTGGCTGTGGCGGGTTTCGAACAGCTGTAACAGCTGTCCGTAGATGTTACTAGCAGGCGTTTAACCACCTGCGCCACCGCTCCCTCCACCCATACCCTGACCTGGATAGCTCAGGCTAGCCTGACCTCATCAGATCGCAGAAGCTAAGAAGGGTCGTCCTTGGCAGGTTGTTGGAGGGGCGACCTCCAAGGAATACCAGGGGCGTGACACAGAGGCAGGCAATGGCAAACCACCTCTGAAACGTCTCTTGCCTTAGTAAAACAAGTCTAGCTCGCCACCTAGTGGTGCATAAAGCTAAAGAGCTGGAACGTCTGGCTGCCAGACAATCTTAGGATCTCCTGGCTATATTACATACAATGCCATACGATACTAACAATGCAGTATAGTGTAGTGCACTGTACCGTAGCCTGTTTGGGTGACAATGGCCTTGATATTTTTGCTCATATTCAAAAGTTACTTTCCTCATCTGAAGCATTTTATATCACGGCCCTAGAGGGCAGATCGTTGATTGTTACATGCCAGGATATGAAGAAGATGAAGAGATTGGATTTATACCATGCCCTTCACTACCCACAGGAGTCTCAGAGTGGCTTACAAACTCCTTTCCCTCCCCCTCCCCACAACAGACACCCTGGGAGGTAGGTGGGGCTGAGAGAGCTCTCGACAGAAACTGCTCTTTTTCAAGAACAGCTCTTATCAGAACTACGGCTTGGCCAAGGTCATCCAGCCAGGTGCAAATGGAGGAGTGGGGAATCAAACCCGGTTCTCCCAGATTAAAGTCCGCGCACTTAACCACTACACCAAACTGGCTCCACTACACCAAACTGCAGACCCTCCAAACCGGTAGTCATGTTTAAAAACATTAATCGCCCATTGCCCATGGGCGTGGGAATGGAATCTGGATTCTGTTCTGTGCAATGCTGTGTCAAAAGTCATCCACAGTGACCGACCGTGTGAGTTTAGAACTATGGCATGCAAACATAACATGTTACATGTAAAGCCACCATAGGCACTGGAAGGTGCTGGTCGTGCATGAATGGAACGCTAGTGCTGGAGGAATGTGCTCCATAGTGGAGGCCACTTTGCCATGGAAAAGGCTCCAGTGCAAGGGGAAACAAGGCTTAGGATCCAAGCTATGGTCCTACAGCAAAACAGGAACAGCAGCATGTGGAAAGGAAATGGACTTGGGGGGGGGGAACCCTTGCATATGTAACCCAAAATGAATGTTGTTGTATTGATGGTACCTGCAGAAATCCCCTTCTGCCTCTAGCAGTGTCAGTGAAGCAACGGAGTTTCTCATCAGATCTGCTACAGTGCTGTCCTTTGGGGTCACATAAAAGAAAGGGATTCCAGTGCTATTGTCAGTAGGGCCGTCACTGACAGATAAACAATTCCCAAATGGGGCTCCTTGCATCTGAAAAAAAAACCACGCAAACCATCAGAACTTTGACAAAAAAATACACGGTTTCCTAAATAGATGCATGGCAGCAATTTACAGCATAAGTGTAAACAAAAATCCATTTTCTTTTTTTTTTCAGGCTGTAACAAAGTATATTTAAGAAAAAAAATCAGTAGCCTTTTCTTACATATTGTGATTGTCTTCTATGTAAGCTAAGAAGATGAAATGTTGTCCATTTACAGCAAGTGCTACACAAGCAGTAAAAACCACAAACTGAACTCAAACAAACTGGGAAATTTGCAAAGCCGTAAAAGCAGTAAAAAGCAGTAAAAATCAGCTGCAGATTTAATAGCTGGAGTGGGGTGGGGAGGTATATGTGAATTTCCTGCATTGTGTAGGTTGTTGGACTAGACGACCTTAGAGGTCCCTTCCAACTCTATGATCCTATGAACAGCATACCTTTGATTAAAAAAAAAACACTCTTAAATTGTCCATTAAAACAATAACTCTGCAATTCACAGTGAATACATTAATCAACAACTTGATAATGTGATGACAAATCATATTTTTGTATTATGATCCAAAAAGCTACTTCAGCATGCCCAGAGGAAAATATAACATTATTCTTTGATCAACAGAATCCCATTGGAACAAATCAAATTGTTTGGAAACTTTCCTCAGTTTCAAAAACGGAACACGTGAAGCAGCCCGCTGGACTGTCAAGGTCAGTTTCTCTGCTCTGACTAGCAGCAGGCTTGGATCCAGACCAGACTTCTCCCACGGATGGAAGGATTTCTGCCTACAAAGCACCATTTTCCTACTCCCCTTCCCACAGCATCACAAAATGCCCCCTGAAATTCTTTCCTTGGCCGTGAGGGGAACCCCAGGAACAGAATTTTAGTGGACATTTGGGCTGCTATGAGAGGTGGGGAACCACTCTCCATGGGCAGAAATCCTTCGTCTGGATCCAACCTCAGGGTGTGAGATAGGGAACTATCATATCAGCTACTAACTGTAACAGCCTCTGGCTATTTACAATGAACTACTAACACGTAACCTACTACCTGATCCTTTCCATTGGAGATATTAGATATTGTATGCAAAGCAAATGCTCTACCACTGGGCTATGGCCCAACCCCATGATAGTTAGTTAGGGGAGCTACTGTTCTGAAAAAAACAAAGCTCCAGTGGGTGTTAGGAACTTGTGCAATTCTTTAGAACTTGGCCTACATATTGTAATTACAGACAGCGAACTGCTGATAATCCATCAGGTAGCATTTTTATCAAAGGATCTTGCAAAAACACAGACAATGAGTTTTCCTGGTTCAGTTGTGTTATTAGAAACCTGAGGTGGAATTACAGACTTCTACTGTACAGCAGGGGATATTTTATTAATGACTTCTGTTATCAACTAGTAACTCTTTGGATCTGACAGGTGCAAAAGAGTGGTTGCTTTTTGCAGTGTTTTGCTAGAGCTCTTTAAACCTTTTCAAAACATGAACTACTCATACATTCCACAAAGGGAGCTTTGACCAGGGTTGCCAGAGACCCCCAGCAACTGGTGAGAGGTGGGGGGGACCTACCAGCAGGAAAACTAGGCCTAGGCCTGTGTTGCTGGCCATGCAGCAATGTCACTTCTGGTGTGCACTGGAAATGACATAATCATATATTATAGTTCGTTGTAATATTTGTACATATTCAAATATTGTTACCAATTAAAGCATCAATGTACAGTCCCCAGTTAAGGGTTAACAGTACCGTCCAAAACAGTGCTATACCCTTCTAGGCTCATTAATATCAATGGCCTTAAAAGGGTGTCACTCCTTTTCGGACGGCACTGTTGAAGCTTAGCTAGGAGCAGTTATTATTGGCAGTACATTTATATGTATATTGCCCTGGAAAATGCTAAGCTCAATTCAACTAATACTTTTCTGTTACCTGTTTGAGGTCCACTCCTCGCTTTCCCCCCTTAGTTTAGCTGGTTCACAGAACTGCAGCATTTAACTCCTGCACTCTGTAGGAATTGCCACTGTAATCAATGGAACTCACAAATACTAAACACCATATTGATGACGATATCTACCACGCTACTGTGCCAAGGCTGTTGAAATAAATGTAGGGGGCTAAGATATGCAGACATTCCAAGTTATCAGTACTCAATATGGAACCCTTACATTGACGTTACTTGCCTCTGGGATAGTCATCACATTTAAACTCATGAAGAGTTTTTATATATATTTCTTAGTCACTCAAGAAACTCTCTGATTGGATTTGGCTATCTTAAAGCCTACCCTATTCAGAAGGATAGTTAAGAACCTTATGAAATTCACATGTATCATGCCTCTAACCAGGGATGAAAGTAATTTATATTTCTTACCAGTACTTCTCTCTCCATGGCCTCAAAGGAGAAGATGGTACCAGTTTGGCTGGTTTTTCATCAGTACTCTGAACTGGCCTGTACTGGCTTACGTTTACTCCTCCATGTCAAAAATTGGAGTGAGGATTTATAGAAGAACTTGGATATGAGAAACTAGAGTACCATGTCATCAACACTAGAGAATTTGTCTTTTAGAACTGCTTTTGTCTCCAATCATATTTGGCTGTCAGTAGTTGTTTGCTACCTACCTGGAATGCTCTTCCTCATGTCTTGAGAATGCCTCTCTAGTACAGGAATGTTTGACTGGGGCACTGGAAGTCACAGATTACAGTACTATGGGGCAAACATTCCCAAAGTTTCACCTCTTTTACTGCCGAATTTGATAAATAAGCATCAGTCTGACGTGTTTCATAAAAAACTTGTTTCTTATTTACAGCAACCAAAATGAAATTTGCCATATTACAGGAAATGTCACTTCTATTTTCAGTGGCTGGAAAAATCTGTGACATTCTGGTGATGAAACAAACTAAAATACCAACTCAATCAAATCAGGTGGGTGTCAGTGTTAACAGCAGGCTACTCCTACATCTTTCAGTGATTTGATTTCAATTTCTGACTCCCCCTGCCTTTCATTAAAAAAAGAAGAAGCATACAGTACCTTGAGCACTACAAAGAGATAGATCCCTAACAACTGTAGTGGCTTTAGAGACATGAAACCAAACTTCCTTAGGCAAATCTGTAACATGTAAACTGTTCTTTAAAACCACTTGGCAAGGGAGCCAAACTATAAAAGCTATCGGAGGGATACAACCGTCATCCTGTTTCTCCAGAGAATAATATTAATTCAGCTGCATCATTTACACACTTTGATAACAGAGGCTCAGTAATTGGTTGATTTATCTAGAATAACCTTCTACAGCCATGGCCAAACGCTGCTTTGGAGAAAGATAACAGCTTGCCCAAACAGGATGAATAATTCACTACTATATTATTTCCCACACCTTTGGCTTTTACGAAGAGCAAAGCTGTAGCCTGCAGAGGAAATAAATCTGTAAATGCTATACGTTTTTGGACAAAGCAAGGCCATATACATTTAAAAGAAGGGGGGAAACGCGACCAGCATGTTTCTGGCAGAGATGCTGCTGCTGCTGCTGCTGCTCACGCTACCTTTTCTTGGGTAGATCTGGTCGCCAAGAAGCCCCAGTTGTTGTAATGGACGAGGAAGCGGGCAGTCCTGGCCGCTTGCTCTTGAGGCGCTAGGCTGTCCGCTTCCTTGGCGCTCTCTCTCCGGTAGGAAAACATCCGGGAAGGGGAAGAGAGCTGCTTCGACTTCCCCGGGCCCGGCCTGGACCTCAGTTCCTCCTCTTCTTTGTAAACCGAGGCCGGGTAGCTTTGCTTCCAGATGTTCGTGGTGTCTTCCAGAAGCGCCGGGAGGACCTCCTCGTTGGAGGAACTGTCCATCTCTTCTTCCACCTCATTGGTGACCGACCAGGACACCGAATTCACGATCACGTAGCCCCACGCCGGGGCCAGGAGCAAACTGCACCAAAGGGCCCCGGGAAGCCAGGCGACGCAGCCCGCCGTTCTCCTCACCATCTGCGCTTGACAGCCGAGCCCGGGCATTTTGGAGCGAAGCCTCCGATGCGACGGTCCACACTGAGTCGGGCGACCGAACGCAAACAATCCTGAAGGTTTGCTGAGAGAGCGGCGCCCTCCTGTGGCGACAAGTGGCACACGCCTGCACACCGCTGAGATCCACACGCCCAACGAACAATATAGGGGAAGGGGACGGAGAGGAGTCCCGCGGCACCTTAAAGGTTAACAAACTCTATCCCAGCACAAGCTCTTGTGGCTCAGAGCTCACTTGGTCAAATGCATTGGCGTGTAGACCTGATGGAAGTGAGCTCTGATTTACAAGAGATCGTGCTGGAATAAACTTTGTTAGGGCAGAACGGATTCAAAGACTCACACAACTACTAGGGGTTGCTAGCTCTGAGTTGGGACATACCTGGAGGTTTGGGGGGGTGGAGCCTGAAGACAGCAGGGTTTGGGGAGGCGGAGGGACTTCAGTGGGGTATCATGTCATACAGTCCACCTTCCAAAGCAGCCCTTTTCTCCAGGTAGACTGATCTGTCACCTGGAGATCAGTTGTAATCCCAGGAGAACACCATCCACCACCTGGAGGCTGGCAAACCCACACAACTACCCATATGGAATTATACATAAAGGCAGGGCCGACCCGTTATTGTTAAATTTTAGACTGTCGCCTTGGGCGACGGCTTGAGGAGGGTGCCATTCTGGCCGGCCTTGTCCCCTCCTTGCCCCACACAGGAAGCCTCCCTTGCCGGCTTCTTGCTCCGTCCCTGGCAAGAGACTTCCCTCTTTGTAGCCCCCCAGACAGAAAGAGGCGGCGGGGGTGGGTGGGACAGGCGCTGGGAACAGCCCGGGACAACAGGAAAGTGCCGCTTTCCCTCTGCCGCCCCCGCGGTCTCTTTGGAGCTCCTTTTGTAGCCTGGCACAGGCCCCCCCTCCCCTTGAGCGATCCCCCCACATGCATTTGCAGCTCGCCCCCTCGGCCCACCTTCTGCAGCTCTGATCCCCGCCCCGTATAGGGGGGGGGGCAGAATGTATCCTCGCCTAGTGGGCGAAAAAACCTGGGGCCGTCACTGCATAAAGGACAGTCCTTATGTATCTGTCTGTTTTCTGTAAGATATGGGGATAATGCTGCCCTTTCCTTACAGAACAATTATAGAAACAATGCATGTGAGGTATTTAATTTATATGCAGAGTACATCATGCGAAATGCCAGCCTGGATGAATCACAAGCCAGAATTAAGATTGCTGGGAAAAACATCAACAACCTCAGATATGCAGACAATACCACTCTAATGGCAGAAAGTGAAGAGGACCTCAAGAGCCTCTTGCTCAAGGTAAAAGAGGAGAGCGCAAAAGTGGGCTTGAAGCTCAACATCAAAAAAACTAAGATCATGGCATCCGGCCCCATCACTCCTTGGCAAATAGAAGGAGAAGTCATGGAAGCAGTGACAGACTTCACGTTCTTGGGATCCAAGATCACTGCAGATGGTGACTGCAGCCATGAAATTAAAAGACACATGCTCCTTGGGAGGAAAGCCATGGCCAACCTAGACAGCATATGACAAGTTTCTTGGGAGGGAAGCTATAGCAAACCTAGACTCCTCCACTTGCAGCTGCTGGATGCCTTGGGCAAGCCATAGCTCTGTCAGAACTGTTCTTAAAAGAGCAGTTTCTGTCAAGAGCTCTCTCAGCCCCACTTACCTCACAGGGTGTCTGTTGTGGGGAGGGGGGAAGGGAAAGGAGTTTGTAAGCTGCCCTGAGACTCCGAGTGAAGGGTGGGGTATAAATCCAATCTGTTCTTCTTCGTCCTCTTCAAAAGAAACTCTTGCATGGGCACAAATGGTGTGGCACCACCATGTGCAATCATATATGCAGCATCAACCTAAGCAGGTCTACTCAAAATCCTACTGAAGTCTTCTGAATAGACCTTACTCCCAGGAAAGCGTTCTTAGGATTCCACAGACTGGGCAGGCACCAGTTCCTATGCCACTTGCCTAGGGAGTGGGGAAAGCAAAGGGCACCCTGGCTTCTGTCACTAGCCAGAGGAATGAGGGGCACTGAGAAGTCACATCTTCCCCCTTCCAGGAGAAACACCGTGGCAAGAGAAAGAGCAGTTTGGCCTCAGCCACACATATTCATATTTAGATGTTTGCCCTGCTGTTCGCCCCAGTGAGGCAAAAAAACCTTATGGCCTCATTCTTTTCCTTTCCTCCATATTAACCTCACAACAACAACAACCCTGTGAGGTAGGTTAGGCTGAGAGAGAGTGACTGACCCAAGGTCACCTTGCTAGCTTCCATGGCAGAGTGGGGACTCTACTATCCCACACTGGCTGTCTAACTGTAGGCTACTGTCCCTTTTTGCTTAAACTTTATAGAAGGTGGCCTCTGTTTCAGCAAATAAAATAGAATGGTTGGGTTATGGGACTCAACTAGTTTAAATGATCTCTGGGTTAATACCTGTTTAATCATTATAAAGGAAGATGAAGTGGAAATGTCAGCTCTAAACCATTCACACACAGAAACACCACAAAGCATCCCCATAACTCCAATCAAAATTCTTTACTGCTTTGTCTCCACTTCTTATTTCAAACTATAAGAACGCTTAAGAGAAAAATAAACACCAAGTATACAAGCTGGACAGCTGAAATATATCAAATTTTTGAAAAGGAATTCAAACATTTGCATCCCAAACTACTTAATTCCAAAGTATATACACAGTGCTAAATCAATGTTCACATCAACTATGTACATTTCCTGCCGATACTTGTCAAGCAGTCCTCTAAATGTGCCCAGTCTCCTTAAACACTGCTGCAGTTATGCTGAGGATCAGAAGTGTCGATGATAAACTGATCCATCGTTCAGAGTCTCAAGCACTTCCTGCCTGATGGGAAGATTCACCTTGAAGGAACTTTTAGAAGCTTTGTCTTCTAAAACAACCTGGATGAGCTGCAAATTGAAACACAGAGAGACACAAACATTGCATTGTCATTAGCATCACTGTGGAGAATAAGCATTCCTGGCCCTCCTCTCCCCACAAGTCATTTTTATCTTCTTTCTGTTTCAGGTTTCTGCTTCTACAGATGAGATAAAAGAGGCCTAAAGAAATAACAGAATAACTGACAAGTTTGGCCTTGGAGAACAAAATGAAGCCGGGCAAAGGTTAACAGAGTTTTGTCAAGAGAACAAGTTGGTCATAGCAAACATCCTCTCCCAACAACCTAAGAGGTGACTCTACACATGGACATCACCAGATGTGAAACATCGAAATGAGACTGATTATATAATTTGCAGTCAAAGATGGAGAAGCTCTATCCAGTCAGTAAAAACAAGACCTGGAGCTGACTGTGGCTCAGATCATGCATCATTGCAAAATTCAGGCTTAAAATGAAGAAAGTTGGTAAAACCACTAGGCCATTCAGGTTTGACCTAGGTAACATCCCTGATGAATGTACAGTGGAGGTGAAGAATAGGTTTAAGGGACTAGATATGATAGAGTGCCTGAAGAACTATGGGCGGAGGCTCATGACATTGTACAGGAGGCAGCAATCAGCACCATCCCAAAGAAAAAGAAATGCAAGAAAGCAAAGTGGCTGTCTGATGAGGCTTTACAAATAGCTGAGAAAAGAAGGAAAGCGAAAGGCAAAAGTGACAAGGAAAGATTTACACAACTGAATGAAGATTTCCAGAGAACAGCAAGGAGAGATAAGGAGGCTTTCCTGAATGAACAATGCAAAGTAATAGAGTAAAACAATAGAATGGGACGGACTAAAGATCTCTTCAAGAAAATTGGAGAAATGAACATTCCGTGCAAAGCAGGCCATGCTAAAGGACAAAAACAGTAGGAAGCTAACAGATGCAGAAGAGATTAGGAAGAGATGGCAAGAATACAAAGAAGAACTATACAAGAAGGATCTCAGTGTCCCTGACAACCACGATGGTGTGATTGCTGACCTCGAGCCAGACATCCTGGAGTGCAAAGTCAAATGGGCCTTAGAAAGCATTACTAACAACAAAGCTAGTGGAGGTGATGGTATCCCAGCTGAGCTATTCAAAGTCCTAAAAGATGCTGCTGCTAAAGTGCTGCACTCAATATGCCAGCAAATTTGGAAAACACAACAGTGGCCACAGGATTGGAAAAGGTCAGTTTACATTCCAATCCCAAAGAAGGGCAATGCCAAGGAATGTTCAAACTATTGTGTAATTGCACTCATTTCACATGCTAGCATTTCACACACTAGCAATTGCACTCATTTCACACATTGGCTTCTGCAGTACATGGATAGAGAACTGCTAGAAGTACAAGCTGAGTTTCAAAGAGGTAGAACTAGAGATCAAATTGCCAACATTTGCTGGATTATGGAGAAAGCAAGGGAGTACCAGAAAAACATCTACTTCTGCTTCATTGACTACGCTAAAGCCTTTGACTGTGTGGATAACAACAAACTGTGGCAGGTCCTTAAAGAGATGGGAGTACCCAGGGCTCTAGTCGGGGGGGAGCTCTCAGGTACGGAGCTCCGGAAGAGAACCTCTAGGGGGCGGGGCGGTCACGTGGTGAAGCCCCGCCCCCTTCTTTACCCCGCCCTCTGCTTCGATCCTCATTCCGTTTGGGAATGAGGATGAAGCAGGAGGGTAAGTAGCCGGGCCTTCTGACACACTTCCGGTGATGTCAGGGGGTGTGGCCTTCTGTCACTTCCGGTGATGTCAGGGGGCGTGGCATATGCAAATAAGTTATGCTAATGAGTTATGCTAATGAGCTCCGGCAGCTCTTTTTCTACAACAAGACCCCTGGGAGTACCAAACCACCTCACATGTCTCCTGAGAAACCTGTATAAGGGTCAAGAAGCGACAGTTAGAACCGGATATGGAACAACAGATTGGTTTAGCATAGGAAAAGGAGTACGGCAAGGATGTATATTGTCACCCTGCTTATTTAATTTATATGCAGAGTACATCATGCAAAATGCTGGCCTGGATGAATCACTAGCCGGAATTAAGA